CTATGTTCAAAACATATCTATATAATTATATTTTTAAACATAATTTAGGCTAATTTAATTAGTCCATTAAGTTGCGACTATAAGTAACTTTAACTTAGCCTGATATACCTTAGCCTAACCTTGCTAAAATTGAAAAGCGTAATATAGTTTTTCGGCAATTGTGTGTTTCGGGATTATGTGGTACCTCTAACCGCTAGGACAACTACTTTATACAGTAGGCCTACCATGCTCACTCGAGCCAATCGGGGCCACACTATGAGCGAGAAAACTTTGAACATTTTGACATTAATCTCAATACTGACTAATGTTAGCATATTCACAGTTTTGTCACTGTTAATGTAGCCCGGATTACAATATATGAGACGCTAAGATGTGAAAGGTTCTTCTGTATTATACTTCAAACTGTAATCACTGCAATATTAGGTTTAATGTTATACTCATACTTTATTTCATTATAACTTAAAACCAAATACTGTATTGATTACAGTCTGAACTACAATACAGAAGAACCTTTCAACACTTGGCGTCTCATATGCGCATCCTGACAATAGACTAACAATCGTAACATTAATTTTAACACCAGATTCCTCGACGCGTACAAAGCTGAGGGTCTGGACATGTGGGGCGTGACCATCGAAAACGAACCGTCCGCCGGCAATCAACCTAAATACGAGTTCAACTGTCTGGGCTTCACGAAAGAGATTCAGAAGGACTTCCTGGTGAAGGACTTGGGACCTGCTTTGGCAGCCGCCGGCTACGGACCCGACAAACTCCAGGTCATGATCTTCGACGACCAACGGGACGTCATCCACGAGTGGGCGCAGTATATCTTCTCGGACAAGGAGGCGGCCAAACTGGCCGCGGGCACCGCCTTTCACTGGTACCAAAACAACCCGCAAAATATTGGCAACTTGAAAAAGGCCCTGGACGCCGACCCCACCAAGTTTATTATTAACAGCGAGGCCAGTGTGGGTGTAGACAAGAAGGAGAATCCAAATCTGGGCGATTGGGGTAACGGTCTCGAGAATACTGTGCGCGATATTATCGACGTAAGTGCGCTTGGTGATGTCTGAAATCCACCATTTTTTATCTCTAATGATCTCGTTTTAAATAAACTACTTTATTATATATCTGTCGGGGAAAGCCAGACAGCATCAAGTCCAAATGCAATCACATTACAATGAACTATTGGTAACTCATTGACCAATCTGATAAATACATTTTGTATTATACTCATTGCAATGTACTTGCATTTAAACTTGATGCTGTATGGCTTTCCCTCAATCATATATATATATATAGTATGCAACATGCAGAAGAAGGGCATTTATTTTGCACTGTAAACTGTATACATAACCTAATCAATGCTTTTTATAGTACCACACAGTGTTTATAGTTATTGATTACATTGAATAGGTTATGAATACAGTTTGCAGTGCAAAATAAATGTCCATCTGCAGGATATACGCCATATATGCATATATACACGCATTCATTACTAATACATACCAATTCAATCGATCATTTTGATCCCCGTGCCATTTCACAGGACCTCAACAATTACGTGGCCGGTTGGGTGAACTGGAATATGGCGCTGGACCTACAGGGCGGGCCAAACTGGGCCGGCCTCAAGGCGTACGCCCCGATCCTGATAGACGCCGCCAATAAGATCTATTACAAGCAGCCGGCCTTTTACGCTCTGGGGCATATCAGCAAGTTCATTTTGCCCGACTCGTATAAGTTGGACTTCAAGGAGACCACCAAGATCGATCGCTACCAGAATACGGCGGCCGTGAGAGCCGATGGCGGTGTGGTCGTGGTTATCATGAACTCCAGCGACGACCTTGTTGAGATTAACATTGAGGATGCCGGACAAAAGTTGTCGCATTACGTCAAACCCCATACCCTGCAGACCTATATCTATTGGCTTTGAATTTAATTGTGCGTGTTATTTTTATGGCTATCATTTTATCGTGATATTTCTTAATTAGAAAACACATTGTTTTATTAAAATAAAATATTTTTAAACAACAGAGTTATTATTTGAAAAAACCAGGCTATTTTAGAGTGAGTATAAGGCGGGGTAAATATAGTCAAGAGGTAGGGTGAGATTACCTGAGAATTATACATATGGTTCGTAACGAATAGGGTGACCTTATTGGGTAAAGTATGAAATACCTTATACCGTATAGATTATTTTGTATTTCATTAAAATTATGAAAGTAAACTTTTAATAATTTTTACGATAGTAAATGTACTTAACATTATCCCTTAACATCACGACCAAAACCATAACAATAACAAAACGCAAGTTAATCAAGCGGGAGGATTATAAATGTACCCAAACCCTACTCCTATTCTATGCTATAAATTAATAATAATATTGCAGCATCAA